CAGCACTTCCGTCAGTATTATGAGTATGTTCTGACATAATTATTTTTAACGCAAATGTCTGTTGAGGATAATCGTCAGTGATAATCATACCGCGGAATTTTAAGAACTAAAATAGCTTTCATGAATGTAGTAGATAAGCTAATTTTATTAATCGATTGTTTTGCAATAAACAAAATTGCCGAAATTCTTGGATAAACCGTAGCTCTACTCCTTATCTCTCATTATTATAATTCCTGTAATCATAAATCCAAACATATTTTTCATGGAATATCATCATGTGCCGGAACAAGGGTGAGATTTCCTTGACTTGCGACTGGATTTACAGTTAATACGTGATTACTACACAACATGGCCTTTAAAGTATCGATTCACTCAACTAGTATTAGTGCCACGAAAGGAACATCGAAACATATTATATAGATACCCATACGTTTTAAAGTTTAGTTAACGTAAAATCACTGCTTGTAAAAGGACTTCCATTAAAATGTTTTCCTGTATTGTATGTCATATTGACCTCACAATAGAATTGACACACGCTCTAAATATAAATATGGTGCATCCATGAGTAATAAATAAAATCACTTGTATATCCTCAAACAATTCCTACAAACAGTTGTCTGTCGATGTCGACGAGTTTCCTCCTAACAAGTCGTGTTTTCATGCCACAAATTAGTAATACATACAAATAGGTAAAGCTAGCACTATATGTCGGGCATTATTCATGATTTTCTAATCAGGTAATGGTCGCATTACGCTAACTAATGGCTCATCTTATAGTGACTGTAACTCTTCCAATAACTATCATGCGAGAGTAGACCGGTAGACAGGTTTCTGCTTAGCGGACTTTGGTCTCGTCGGCGAAACTTCTTTATCCAAGTTCGCGCTGAAATGTAAACTCTTTTCGAAAAAAAAACTTGAACGTTTACCGAATTATAATTAAAGATGTAACATATTACATGCTCACTTTCTTGAAGGCAACATTTGCGTGCAAAGCGGGCAAATTGGTCGTAGCTTATACAAACATCCGTCGTTTACACAAGCGATAACACTAGTCGCTACACCGCCCTCTTATCTCGCATTAGTTTCTCAATCTCGCCTAGATGACTCAGCTGCTATATTAGCTACTTCATTATCGTGCCGTCCTTGGACTCTGAATGCCCATAATTATTACTTTCCAAAAAAGGAAGTCTGAATTCCGTTACTTAGAAAGTGTGCCATAATTTTTAACTAAAATTTACTTGTTTTAAATCCTCGATCGATGTTGTCTGAAAAATCAAGTATAACTTAATTTATGTTAGCTGATACATCCGCTGAATGCAAATCATTTAGTAGTTTTGTTTTACTAATCGGAAGCAATTCGAGCCGTCGAGTCTGGTCTGTACAGTTTCCGTTGCTATGTGGACGAATAACAATTTCGTCATAGTCATTTCATGTAATACCTAAAATTTGGTAGCGGCCACAGCATTTGACATTGATGGCCATGTCGTACATTCATTGGCTTTTAGTTACGCATCTTCGAACGTATAACTTTACTCGTGTTTGTGTCCCCATTATATTTGTAATAATGAATATAACAGGTTTACTAACTCGTTGTGAGGCAGAGGAAATATTTCAAATTGACAGATGACCTTCTGACTTTTTTTCTCTTTACGTAAAACTATGAGTTACATCATAATATTATACAAAAGTAATACAAATTTTGATCAGTTCCCAAGTTAATAGTTGTAGTTGTTTGAAACGAATTTGTTTAATTTTGTTGCTGACGGAAATACGTTTATATCTACCTCATTGCACACGCTTCGTATATTTTGTGCATTAGCCAGGATTTACAGAACAGACACGAACAGAGATTAAAACAAGTGTTGACATAATGATGACGAATTGTCTAGAAATCTCCTCCAAGCGTGTAAAATATGCATCATTTGTAGAGCAAAGTCGCCACTTTGCACCGATCACATTTACATACATTTCACAGTAGAAACTAGTTCAGTTTAAATTAACGACATTGAGAACAGGCGCGTTATTTTTATAAACACTATCATTGTCCTTTCCTTAACCTTATTATTGGAGGTTAGGAGAAGCTGGTACAATTTGGTATAATAAACCATGCGGGCGGTTGATAAGCTATGAGTTATAGGGGAAGAGTCATCGAGGCTGAATAATAATAGCTTAGGAAATAAGGATGCGACTAGCGAATCATCATTATCGATGTGTTTCTAACTTTAGTCTCTATCATAAATCATAAGTTCTTATTACCGATAAACATTATTATGTAGAATAGCGCTATAAACTAACGAAAATGAATATAGCACTGTCTGTGTAAAGTTAGTGTTAATAAGATTTCCCCACTCATGTGAACGTAAACATGAGAGATCCTGGTTGACTGCTTTTTATTTGCTGTTTATGTTCTGTGTTGGCACGACTCCAAGGCGCGCTTTCCGATTATATTCCGGTCTTTAGCTCTTTGAACTTTGACCTTCACTGAATTTATTTATGTTATCTTGTACTTAAAAGTCGATAATACGTTGATATCATAAAATTATTCTTTATCAAATCAAAATATTATCTGGGTTAAGTCATTGTTCGTGAAGTGGAGTACTTATAATTAAATGGCTTTAAAACAGCATGTAATCTGTTACATTTATTTTTGGGTAAAAAAAAAAACGATATTAGGTCCTATTTAATTTTAATCCCTTCTTTAGATGCGCGACACGAAACTAATTATATAATATGATCGATATAACAAAATTATCGATAGAGTTATCTTGTTTGTTCCCATTACTATCACACGTAGAGCAGAATATGAATGAACAGTGTACATCTATTGTTACCACTTTGCAGATAGTATCTCCGTCTGCAGCCAGCATTGTTAGTGTAATCATGTTTTCATTACTAGGATCCGATGTCGATACATTGGCTACTGCAAACTGCTTTAGCTTTATGATTATTTTTATTTCTGCATACATTAGTAGATTTGTTTGTCTGGAAATGCTGGAATATAAGATAAGATTATAAGAAATTGAGCGTACATACATAACGAACGGATTGGAACGCCAATTGAGCAATGAGTATTAGTAATTATCTAAAGCTATCCTTTCTTCCCGATACGCTTCTTCATAACCAGTTCAAACACACCATTGTTCCGCCTGTTCTTTCCTGGCTGTCTCAAAATAATCCAGAATTTCTAGGAAACAAGACCTTGCCCGCATCGTCATAAAAAATCAGTTTCCGGATAAATTGCGAAATAAGTAGAAACTATTTGTTTAGCAATTTGTTTGCTATCGTTTTCTATATTTTTCATATAAATTATTTTTATATTTTATGGATCGTCTAGACTTTATTTGTAAATAAGCTTCTTGGAAAGGCTTTATTAAATGATACATAAGTCAAAACTCTGTTCACATCCGTATTCTTGCGCCTGTTTGGCTTTCGTATTTCTATCAGCTTAGTCTACTTAATAAAAACCACACAAATTGTAGCTTAATTAGGACTACTTCTCAAATCAATCACAATTAATAGCCTTGCTCACAATTTGCTTACTTGGCTTGACTCTGCTATCATATGTTTCTGTAGAACCAACCAGACTAAGAAATTACTTCGTTGAAACAGAAAAGGAGCTCAGTCAGCTCCCATTAGCTCCAAACCATTAGTGTAGTTTAAGAAAAGCTTTTGAAACAACATCTCTTTGATCATTCCTATAAAATTAAGTATCGAGACACTAAAAGATCGTAAAAGGACGTAGATAGTGGTGCTGAGGTTACGCCATGACATAATCGTCCCGGAAGATGGCATCCGCTTGGCGCACCACCAACTATAATGTATTTTTAGATGAATTCGTTTACATTTCTTCTATTCCTGTTATTAATTCTCTATTTATAACCATTACAGTTTTTATGAATGAACCTTTATTTTTCATGTAGTGTAGTCATATTTTTCTTTGATTTGTTTATTCCCATTCTTTTTTAAACTTTTTGTCGAAAATTCATTAACAACGGGTGTTCTTGTTTACTGTTCTATGTTGCACTAATGTAGTGCAGGTCGATATTTTTAGTATCTAAATTTAATTTAAGTCGTTTCATTATTATTAATAACTGAAGATAAACGACATTATAAAAATGTGTCATAATTTTATCTAAGAGGTCAATCAACTTGTACGGAGACCATTTGATCAATATTGTATTGTCTGTGCAAGATTTTTTTTCAGTAAGAAATTCATAAAGAAATCTTTATGAATATTTTAACTCGTCGAGTACCGGTTTTATAGACACAATTAAAGAACAATAGGTCGCGGTCACCGGTGACCGCTTGGTGTTTGACAGATTAAGTTCAAACTGCAAGGCTTACAAAGTCAAAATAGTATGTCGTTGCTTTGTGCTCTTCCATTGTATATTCATAATATATATAGGAATAAATTTACTATATGGCTATTTGTTCCATTATACGCTATATTAGATACAACAGAGTCGTTTGGCACACATCTGTGGTGTACAATGCCATCTGAGTCCATTATGCTGTTTTCTTTGCCATATTCGATCCGACACTTAAGGTCTTTTACGTCGGAGCAAGGGCGCACGCATTCATCGAGAATGTTGGACACAATAACACAGTCCAATAAAGTTTAATAACACACATGTGAGCATCCTAAAAACCTTCTACAATTCGATTTTCGTCGAAGCACGGTTTATTCGTCTTTGTTGTATAAATATGCCAAATACGTGGGATTCGTGCGTATATTAAATATTAATGCACATTCAAGATAGCAATTATTGGATGTAAATCATCATTGTATATCGTTTCATTCGTAATGTCTGTCACTTTAATTACTTCATTAATCACATTGACTACATCATTTCTGTACTTATTCACGGGTAAGACAGATTTAATGAGTAGATTGAGAAGCCAGTAATCATTTCCAGTGAATTGTCTGTATCAATGTAAAATTATTTCAAAATTAACTCAATTTCCATCAATGACTTATTTTAAACATTTTGTTATTTTCTAGATGAACGTCCGTGTGACGACGATGGACGCGGAGCTGGAGTTCGCGATCCAGCAGACGACGACTGGCAAACAACTGTTTGACCAGGTCGTCAAGACCATCGGCCTGAGAGAGGTGTGGTTCTTCGGTCTCCAGTACACCGATTCTAAAGGAGACCTCACCTGGATCAAACTCTACAAAAAGGTTAGTGATGAATCTATGTTTATTAATTGCAATAATATTTTGTGGGTACTGCGAAATGTAAGAATTGATTGCATTATAGGTACATAATAAACACTAAAGATAAATGAGATATTATCTACAATGCGTAGGATCAGTATCAATATTAAAAGTAAAACAGACTCATTTATAGTCGGTCAATATTCATTTACAAATGTCAAAGTGGTGAAAGAAATCGAGTTGTAGCATCGTTCGTTTGAATCTGCCGACAGCGGCCGCTCCGTTTACATACATTACCTAGAGATAAATCTGCGTCTGTTTGCGTTGCAAAACCATCAGTAATGTTCGTGGATAGTGCATTAGCGTATAAAATGTGTGTTTACTGCAAGTGGTGAGGGGGCGGCTATTGGCCGACGCGAACCAAATGCTATGTAATGATTATTTTTAGTACAACCAGTGCGCCTAACAAGTTCAAGTTTGTTTTTTATTTATTTTTAATAATTGCGAGGTATACGCTTGAGAAAATTGTGTTTCTCTTTCTTATTAATTATCGATACTGGTTAATAAATGATGGATATTGTGATCATCGCTATAATTGCACCAAGAAAATAATTATGGTTCTCCAAATAGTTTTGTTGGACGTGCATTCAAACGGCATTTCCTTTCGCTCGCCACCTTGGCTCTCAATTCTCATTCATTCGAAACACGTTTCCGTCATGTTGTTGTTCCACAAACAAACGATTCTCTGAAATCGTTTTCCTTTGCCCTTATCCTCTGAGCGACACTGACCCCGTATTGCAATGTCAGCGTGTGCACAACATTACAACATTACCGAATATATCATTACAGAGCCTACGTAGTTTATCAATAAGGTCGACTGGTTCACATTAATATATTAAATCATGAATATTACAAATATTTTGCCTCTTAACAACTTTTTGTTACTTTCGATCTAAACACTGTTTGTCAGTAGCTTTTTCTATAAATAACTCAGTTTTTATTGTATGGTTTGAAGTTCAACAAACTTCATTCGTCAATGCATTGTATTGTCACTGTGCAGTCACAAAATTAGTTTTTCTATGTCCGTAGATTATTATTATTACTTTATTATTACTTCTGGATATAATTGGAGGCGACATTTATCAATGTGCTATTAACCTTACACGTCACAGATAAGATAGTACAAACTAATAGGAAGCGTAACAGGTTATTGTTTTTCAAAGTTCCATCAAATTAGTACTTCATCATGCAGATCTGCAAATCTTTCTTTACATTCTGTGATCCATCAACTAGGACCACTAGACATATAAATCAGCAGGTAGTTTATCTCGCCGCCCAATAGGTCCGCGTTATGGCACTCCTACGTCCAAAATCTTCAAACGTCCTGTCTGCGGTCATTATCCGCCTACCCACGTGCCTGTAATGTAAACAAGCCCATTGAGCTACAATGTTTGATAAACCAGTGTTGTCGCCGCCCCACCAGTTGGCGTTGCTTTAATATATAATTCGTGTATACACGTCACAAGCAGATATCATATATTCCAAAGAAAATGGGCAGGCTAGAGGTCGTCAGAAAGTTACTTTTTAATAATAGATCGAGTTGGTATGATGCTAGTTCCAAGTTTAAAACAGTATTTGGTACGCAACGTATCGCTGTTAACTAAAACCTTCTCTTTATGCAGCGCAAGAACCAGTATCTGGTATGTAGGCAAAATTCTCGACCTCCTTCTATAATTTATGTACCGAACTCTTTATGTCCTTCATTACAAGGGCGGCGCAAATCTGCATTGCTAGTCGCATTGTTATAGCATGTCTCTACGCCGTTAAAAGCTTGGCACCATAAACTTTGGCACAAATCTAGTATTGTTTGACGGCTTATAGAGAAAATTACGTTTCATACACATAGCTTCCAAGTTGTAAGTTTACCCTACCAAAATTGTGACACTTTCTTGACTTATTCGCGACGATAAAATAAAAAACTTCTTTCGTGTTGACGATACAATTAAATAGCCGACCAGCTGTAGTCTTGCCTCAAACACATTTACAAACCTTTCGCTTGAACGGCTGCGTGTCGCTAATTTCTCCTATGCACACGGTCAGCAATGTAAACAGATGTATATGTGTCTATCCCTCTCCAACACACAGTTATCTATACACGTGTGACGGGGAGCAGTCGTTTAGTGAACATTAGCTGTTTTCACTGTTAGCAGAAAGAAAACCTGACTAAAACTATGCAATTGCAGCAAATACTTGTTATGGCAATAGAAAATAGAAATCCATGACAATAGTGGCATCTATTTCATAAAATATTGACTATACCACATGCCAGCCAATATAACTCAATTGTCAATATTCTTGGGCACTTTATAGCTGATTCTAACATTTCTGTAATGGAAATACATAAAACTCAGAAAAATGTGCACACAGATGATTGCAAACGACTACATCGAATATTCCATAATCGACACAGGTGTGAGTCAGTGGAACGTGAGCAGACGGCTTTCCATTGAATCGATCAGGTGTAATGATTGCTCCGCGTAAAAACCTACAATTTAGTCTCTACTTCTGATCAGTTTTTGTTGACATGACGATATTGTAACTGATACTTATCCTAAAATCCACTGTCGAAGATAATTGAGATAATGCAGATAAGGCAATTGTTTATAAACTAAACAGCTAAACACTGTATAATATTGAATAACAACTGCATACAGAGCATGAATTGTTTAAATTAGTTTGAAAAGTTCTGGAACATAGATTTACACATCTGGCTTACACAGACTACGACAATTATCTGTTAAAAGCGTCATAAACTATGATGTAATTTATAAAGCATTGTTAACAAAACGGTTGGATATTCCCACAAGATCTGAGCAAGTGGGTAGGCGAGCGAGGCATGACTCACGGTCGGAAGCTCGCAGTCGGTTATCGAATCCTAAATGTGAATGATATATGGATGGTGGCAAACTGTAGGTGACGTCAGTACCTACATAACATAAAAAATCGTCGCCAAGTACCACAAACAATTTATTTACAATCCCATCATCATTGAATGCTTTATCAAGTAATGTTACTTTGCGTGTTGCCTTCTGATTGGTTAGCATCAAGAATTTAATAACTACTTGATTCCGTAATACCACTTTACATACCGAATTTCTCATATAAAACCTTACTGCCAATGTTTTTTTTTATTTGGAGACAGCCTTAGTTTTAGAACTGGTTTTGAAATTAATTTGCATTTCTCTAGCGCTAGTGTTTATTATGCCAAAGTGCCAAACACTCGGTTTTAGTATAGTAATACATAACATTGCTGTTTAACTATTAACTATTTATTTTTGTTAACTAAAATGTACAATAATATTAAACTATTCTAATAAATAAAAATGTGCTCATCATTGAAACCAAAAAATTAAGATTGAAATAATTAAAATAATATAGTTTGTACAAAAACGAACGATTCCAGTTATTCTAGTTATTCAAATACTTTTTTAATGTTATCATCATAATTACCTGGCCATGGTAAAGTCCTTGGCCTCGCCAGTATGCTTCGTTTTGGGCACGTAGTGAAATATAGAAAGCAAAAATTGTATATTTAATATCTAATATTATAGTTTCAAAAAGAAAACTGATGATAGCAATGGATTGCAATTTGCAATTGATTTAAAATAGTATCTTCTGCAGATCAGTCAAATCAAATGGTTACTTAATTCTTTAAACTCTCAAACACCAAGCGGTCACCGGTGACCGCGACCTATTGTTCTTTAATTGTGTCTATAAATACGGTACTCGACGAGTTAATGATTACAAAACCATCAACCACCATAGCAACGCGATCAAAGTACTGCAATAGACAAGAAGTGACAACTTAATATCAGTTGCCGACACTATACGCGGGAAAGTTCAAAGTTTTTCTCTTTTACGAGTCGCCTTATAACGCATGTACATTTTTAACAGCACTAGTAAATATTTCTTCAGGGATGATGAGGACAAAACTACGTACTTATATTATAGCAGACTAGAACAGCTATTAATAATATTACTTTATTAGACTACAAACCGAAAACTTCTTTTAAACAGCCTAAACAACAAGTCGGAAAACTCTTTTTATTCTAAGTTGCAAATGCTCCAACCTAGATCCACCTGGTCATGTCACACTGTTTAAGGGTTTCCGCTGTTACGCAGTAGGCTCGCATACTACATATATTATAAATACATGTCGTGTATCGCACTTACGTAACCGCTACCTGCGGCCTCGAACGACATGTGATAATCATTGTGTGGCAATTGCTTTTCTACTCGACATATTAACGTCCCCACCCTTTATATTTTCTTTAATTTTATCATACTTGCCAACTTTTTTTACTTTCTCTTCTAGCATTGCTAATTATTGAATCATCATAATTAGTTAGCATCTTGATTTTTATTCTTTTAAAGATTCAAGTGTGTAGGATGCTAAATATTCTTTGAAATTATAGCTCGTGAATGTTTATGCAATGTGTAATCTTATCTTCAGCGTATAGTTAATTTTCATAAACGCACTTAAACAGTATAGCATGGCTTAACAAATGACTCAAGATGTTTATGATGATGACGGCCTCAGTGATGTCACCCCCATAAATTCCTTGTACCGAGAGTATTAAAGTATGAAATTAACTTTAGGTATAATAATAACGTAGATCGCCGGTACTCACTGCATATTTCCTCAAGTTTTCCAACTAATCACGCATTGTGTGTTAAGAAACTTGTGCCTTTCGCTTTCTTTTATTCTGTCAACCTGTTTAACTGTTGATAGAGTTAAGTTGATGTTGCCATCATTTCGTTACGTCATATACATATTTACTGTCTTTATATACTTCGTTGCGCTTAAGTAATTTTTCTTATTTTGTTATAGATTATGGTTAGAACTTTTTGAAAGACTCGTATTTTTGTAGCTTTTAACTCATCAGGATCAAAGGTTTGTGTGTATCCTACCTGTAACGATTCTAAAATAATTATTTCGTGTAGCATTTGCCTAGTCTCGTTGA